TGTAAAATTTAGCCAAATGGAAAAATCTGACCAAAGGTTTCATTAAAGGCATTATAGGAATTAGATTTAAAAAAAAATTAAAGGGCGCAATATAGAAAGCCACAATGTTTAAAACAGCTCGTAAGTAAAAAAAAAAAAAACAAATAAATGATTCCAGAAATGCAACAAATTTAGCATCAGAATGGCCAAAAATGTGATATTTTTGCCAAGAAAAGTGGAGGGGAAGTAATAAGTGGATAAAAGTACCCCCTGTATTTGCACGTTGATTTCAAAAAAAACATACTTGTGCTTGACAGTGTCAACCGTTTCATCGGCAATATTTCTAGCCATCGTTTTGGATGCATTTTCAAGCGCCAACCAAACGGTGCTAACACTGGTGATACCACTTCCCAGCACATAAATGGTACCATGCACAACACCACGACCCTCACCATCACCCAGATGCTTCTCTGCTCCAGAAGCTAGTGTCTTCCCCACTGACATTCCCATATCGCCGATTTTGTTCACTGAATTTTACAGCATTGTAACGCCTTTCAGAATAAAATAGCTTCGGCCAATAAAGTTTTTTGCCTGAATGTTCAATGAATGTGTAGCGTCTCCAGCTGTGGGTGTTTTTTCAAATTCCCATAGACTCTTCAAATTCCCAAAAACCCTTAGAATTTTCGAGATAAATTACTTACGCAGATATTTGGTGCATTTAGCGACTAGTTTGCTGCCTTTGTGTACGTAATGTATGCCATATCGTAATGCTGGATTCACCCGTACTGGTTCTTCACCAGGTTCCAGCGCAGATCGAATTCGGGCTGATCGGTCGACCACTACTTTGGACGTTTTTTCAGCAACTTGACCAATATTTGCAGCTAAATAGTCTCCACCTAAAACATTCTTCCTCCTAATATATGTTTGCTCTGATCTTGGCATGTTCAGCAATCTCTGACTGAGACTTTCAGTTTCTTGAAAACTGCTGTACCTTTCATCAAAAAATCGCCAATTTTCTGGCTGAGATGCTCTCTTTCCGCTTTACTCATAGAACGTGACAATTCTTGC